ATTTACTGACGGGTCAGTCAGATACACCATGACTTCCATGAATGTGCCTGAGCCAGTTATGTCATTGGCTATATCAGCAGTCTCGAAAGATTCTGGAGGAAATGTGAGTCACTAAATATATAGTGTTACTTCATTACATGATTGTAAAACTTGGTTTTATCAAGGAATATATATTCACTTATATAAATCTTCATTTGGCAGTTTTCGAAAGCCTTGAATCGCTTTCAGAAAGAGGACCCTACTTTCCGTGTCGGTATAGACCCCTTCCCACTTTTACCCACATTTGGTAAAACCCACATTTTTTTTTTCACCTCTTATATAAGTTGTCAGACACTATTGTGGTCCTTACATCTCAACTGGAAATGGTTCTTAATCACGTACTTGATTAATCACTGAGCATTTCTGCTTTATTCCACCGTTTCTACTCAGCCCAGCCTCAGCATGATGATGACCCCGCGCCGCCAAACCTTGACGAGTACGCCACCGTGCAGGACGCTGTATTCGACAGCTCCCATTTTGCTGATTTGAATCTCAATCCGGACGGCGGAGGAGATGATGGCGAGAAGCAGATGTGGGACGAGAAGTACAGGGACAGAGTGAAAAGCAAAGTGTTTGGGGAAGATGTTTCGCATTCGAGAATTTTGGAGAGAGAAGAGGAGAAGAAAAGGAAGGCTGGAAACCTCGCCATGGCCTTGTTAGAAGCGGCTTTAGATGAAGATGATAATGAGGATGCGGAGGAGAGGGAGGTGACGGAGGAGGATCAGAAGTCTTTGTCTGTTGGTATTATTGGGGCTCCTAACGCTGGAAAGTCGGCTCTCACTAATTGCATGGTTTGCTTGCCTTTTTTTCACTTTATTTTCTGAAAGGCAGTAGAATAAAATAATTTCAGGATATTAATGTTTCTAGTGACCTTGAGCTTGTGCTTGCTTTTCATTTGGTTTGGTATATGTCATGTTTCATGTGTGTGTGGTGCTGTTCTTGAGGATAAATCGGTTTTGTAGATAAGTTGATAAATTTGGGATATTTCATTTATTTTTCTTCTCCTGGTATTAGGTTGGGACTAAAGTTTCAGCTGTTTCACGGAAGGTCAATACCACCACACATGAAGTGTTAGGAGTTTTCACTAAAGGAGACACACAAATTGTATGTTCTCACTATACACTGTTTTTTTCTGGATTATACTTTGAGATATTTATTGTGGCTATTGATGTGTTTGTTGATTAAGTGATTTAGTTGTTTAATCACTTTTTGTGATGTTATTACAAATGAAATTCTCCAAGACATGATCTAGGGAAGGACGTGCCTTTTTCCTTGAACTCTACTTCCTTTTACGCTGATAAGATGGTTCTACCGTATGCAAATAAATTAAGTACCCAATTTATGATTCTTGTCTATTTAATGCGATTTTGATAGAAAAGTCTCTATCGACCTTGAGAAGGCTTATGACAGAGTACTGAAGAATATCATGTGGTGGGCCTTAGAAAAGCACAAAGTCCCATCTAAGTACATTACCTTCATCAAGGATATGTACAAGGATGCAATGACGTGTGTCCGAACATGTGGGGGCGATACCAGCTACTTCCCAATTAAAATAGGACTACACCAGGGGTCAACATTGAACCTTTATTTATTTGCCTTGGTGATGGATGAGGCCACAAAGGACATACAAGGTGATATCCCTTGGTGCATGCTCTTTGCTGATGATGTGGTGCTACTTGACGAGAGTAGGGTAGGGGTAAATAGGAAGTTAGAGCTGTGGAAGGACACGTTAGAGTCGAAAGAATTCAGACTTAGTAGGACGAAGACCGAGTACATGACGTGCGCTTTCAGCATGACTGCTACACATGATGATGGTGACGTTAGCCTTGACGGGCAAGTGGTGGTCAAGAAGGAGATTTTCCGGTATTTAGGATCGATGCTACAAAAGGATGACGACATTGATGAGGATGTTAGGCATAGAATTGCAACTGGTTAGTTAAAATGGCGTCAAACTTCGGGCGTTCTCTGTGATAAGAGGGTGCCTCAAAGGCTAAATGGTAAGTTCTATAGGACGGCGATTCGCCCGACGATGCTATACGATGCTGAATGTTGGCTTACAAAAAGGCAACATGCCCAACAACTAAGTGTAGCAGAGATGTATATGTTACGTTGGTTTTGCAGGCACACAAGAAAGGATAAATCTGGAATGAGGAGATTCGATATCGGGTCGGGTGGCTCCAATTGAGGAGAAATTTGTTCAACATCGGCTGAGGTGGTTCAGACATGTCCAACGGAGGCCTCCCGATGCACCGGTGCGTAGGAGAGTTCTACAATGGGTCGATGATGTAAAGAGAGGTAGAGGTCGGCCTAAACTCACTTGGGAAGAGTCGGTAAAGAGACCTTAAAGATTAGAATATCTCGAAGGATTTAGCGGTGGATAGGAGCGCTTGGAGGCTAGCAATTAACATGCTAGAACCGTGACTTTTGCTCATTTCTCTTTTGCTCCAATCTCTTCTTTTTGTTTTTGAGCCCTTTTTGTGTTTCTCTTACATTTGGTTCTCTTGGGTTTCTTCTCTAGCCTACCCCAACTTGTTTGGGACTAAAACACTATGTTGTTGTTGTTGTCTGATAGAAAAGTCCCCTCTTATTTAATCTGACCGTTGTAGTTTTTCACTTGTTACTGAGTGTACATATTTTATATTTGATTTGGTATTCCACGTACATAAGAGTCAATTCTTTAGCAATGAATGATAAACGGTTATCGGAATGGATGCACCTGCTGAATATGCTTTGCTGTGATGATACCCATTCTGCTCACAAGAAGGGAGACCACTGTCCAAGAGGGCATGTCTGAGATTTCAAATGTGCATATGAATTTTTTATTTTGTTTCACATGTGAAGCATGATAAGATTATAGGACGAGTAAAAGATGCACCATACATGATGCTGGGATTTAAGGTGATATGGCAGGAGATTCTCCTGTTCTGGGCCTTTGTTCTGGGCCTTTGGTGTGAAGTTCAATAGTTATTGAGCATTTAGGTTGACCGGAAGTAGATGCCTTTTCCATTCTTGTATCTGTTCCATTCTTAGTGAAGAAACATGCTAAAATGTGTTCCTTGAAAAAAAATTTATTCTTATTTTGTACAAAATATATCTGACTAATTTAATGTTCATGCAGTGCTTCTTCGATACGCCTGGGCTTATGTTAAAGAAAAGTGGATTTCCTTACAACGATATCAAAGTTCGCAATGAAAGTGCATGGAGTTCCATTAACTTGCATGATGTTTTAATCGTCATATTCGATATCCACAGACATATTACAAGGTACCAGTTTTCTTTATCTAAATTAATCTTACAGTTCTATTATGTGCTCATATTTGTGTTGATATGCTCACAGCCTCTTATCTGGTCAGTTTTTCGTTGCACATCTAAATCTCTAGTCTTTCTATAGATATCCCCTATATGATGGACTAGAACCTGATGTACTTTTACGAAATAAGAATAAAATAAGATGGAGAATTAGTTTTTGGGTATTGAGCCTAGTTTATAAGCCTAGTGAACTACTCCTCTCATTACCTATTGGTTTTGGGATGGAACCTTACTCAGGTGCATTTAAGCTCGTCCTTTTATGGTGCGCTTCACCTCTATGGGACTGCACCCCTTTCTCCCAAATCTATAAATATAACAGGTATAAACACTAAAAGACTCGTGTCCACAAGATTAGCTGTGGCACTGTCAATATAACCAGCTTCTGAAAACCCGTGTTAAGTTTGATTGAAGGAACAGTCTATTCATCAAGCTTTTATAGTTTTCCAATTGGTAATAGAGCTCCGGACTGCTTTATTATATAATTGTGCTTTGAGAATGATATTGCATATGTGGTGTACTGCGGATCAAGTCTCCCATTTTTGCTCTGTTGGAGTAACATATCGACTACCCCTTTAACATAATTTTTTTCATTAACCTAGACCTGATTCACGAGTGGTGAGATTGATCGAAAGAATGGGTTCAATTAGCAACACAAGCCAGAAGCGTGTGTTGTGCATGAATAAAGTTGACATGGTCCCAAAGAGGAATGATCTGCTCAAAGTTGTGGAAGAATTCAAAGACCTTCCTGGATATGATAGGTATGTTATTCATACTCTCTCTCTCTCTCTCTCTATATATATATATATCAATTGACCACTGCAGTGCCTGACATCGGTGTGTAGGTTCTTCATGATCTCAGGACTGAAGGGTGCTGGGATCAAAGACCTTACTCAGTATTTAATTGAGCAGGTATGGTTGAAAAGCTGACACCTCCATCTTACTCGGTATCTCTGAATGCTCTTTGTTGTTTGTTACTGCTTAATCTGGCACAAAATGCACATGTCTTCTTGTTATTTACTAAATTATGCTTTGACCTAGAAGCTTTGCAACAAGCTGTGTCAAAATTGTTTTGCATGTTCATAAATTTATAGTGTTTACAACAATTTGAGAGACTACCTATGATAAGTTTTTGGTGAACGTGTTCTCTCTGCAACTATCAATAGTTGATCTCTCTTTTTTTTGCTCCGTTGAATTAAAATTTTACTGCATTCAAATGTGTTCACTACAACGCATCTTATTTGACTGTGCGTAACATGGAGAAATTAATACCCCAAAGGCTCCACTAGTATTTTTCTAATCTTATGTTTGCTTAGGCAGTGAAAAGACCGTGGGATGAAGATCCATTTGCCATGAGCGAAGAAGTTATGAAGAACATATCCCTAGAAGTTGTGAGAGAGAAATTGTTGGACTATGTGCATCAGGTAATGTTTTGATTTCTAAATTGCAATGGCAACGAGTTGGAATAGTAATAGAGGCTGATTTATTATTACTAAATGTAGGAAATACCATATGGCATCGAACATCGCTTGATGGGCTGGAAAGAGTTAAGAGATGGCTCAGTCCGAATTGAGCAACACTTCATCACTCCCAAAGTCAGCCAACGAAAAATTCTAGTCGGGAAAAAGGGCTCCAAAATAGGGTTAGTATTTTTCTGTCTTTTTCTCTTAAGTTATAAGTAAGATCAATCTTAAACTTGGTCTTAAAATTTCACTTTTCAGGAGGATAGGTATGGAAGCTAACGAGGAGCTTCGGTCCATATTCAAGAGGGATGTTCATCTAATTCTCATGGTTAGAGTTAAATAAGTATGTGTACAGAAGGGGTTTCGCATACCATACGCAGTAGAAGATTCGGCTTCTCGAGAATCAAAGAGCTGAAACTGGTTTTTGTTGTATTTGATTCTAAAAGAGCCATTTCCTAGTTTTGAGATTCTCCTTTTGGCAGAAGGGGCTCAAATGTTTATGTGGTAATTGATATTTTTGTCTTCTTCAGTCTGTTGCTGGATGGATTATTCTTCTTTTTTTTTTTAGCATGAGAATGAGAGAAAAATAGAAGTAAAGGTGAAAGTTATTTGTTATATCATTGTTCTTCCATTTATATTTGTTTGTTTTTTTCATTGGTTGAGTTGTTTTTTCTGCTTGGCAAGTATTATACATTTATGGTAAACCTAACGAAGATAGAAAAACTTCACCGAAACTAGGCACTGGGGTTCTCAATGCCTACATTTTCACATGTTTCTTTGATTCTTGCACCTGATTAGAGCAAACTCTCAAAACGGCATGGGGCAACTTCAGTAGGTCAGGTAATCCACTGGACATTGGCCTTTTCTATTTTTATCCTTCTCTGATACAGTTTAAATGTGGTTCCTTAATAAAAAATCAGTAGCTCAGGGTGTTAAAAAAAATGACCTTTACTGTTGCTTGCTGTTGATACATGATTCTCCGTGCACTTTTTCCTGGACTATCATCCTTATAGTTGAAATTGTACTTTGACAGTTCAAGGAGATGGGTTTTCTTCCTCAAGCAATGGTGAACTATCTTGCCCTATTGGGCTGGGGTGATGGTACTGAGAATGAATTTTTCACCCTTGACGAGCTTGGTTAGTTAGTCTCCTTTTGGAAGATCTGCGCATGTAATGTTAGTTGCAGTTTAAGATGCCTGATTTCATCATTTTCATGACTTGGAAACTCTCACATGGTTTGCAGTTGATAAGTTCACTATTGAGCGCGTTAATAAGAGTGGAGCCGTGTTTGATTCTGTCAAGTTAAGGTAACTGGACAAGATATGTAGGTAACACTTCATATGCAAAGAGCTCAGGCATTTTTATTTTTTTTTTGGAAATTTCTCGTTCTGTTAGCTGCGATCTTTGTGGTCGATATCTCATTTTTGGTTCTTACTCTGCAAAGGGTAATAAGTTTTAATGAATTAATATACTGCTTCTGTTGTTAACGTGTACGTTTGGTAATGTAAGGTGGATGAATGGTCAAAATTTGAGATCTCTTCCAACCGAAGAACTAAACAAACTCATTGGTGAGCGGTGGAAAAGCACTGGCTTTGTCACAGAATCAAGGGGGACATTTGTAGAAGTACAGCTGTCTCTTTCATCTCATTTCTCCTTGCAAACTATAGAATCTTTAAAAAAGACAGTTGCTTTAGTTTAGTAACAGCCATCTTGATGATCCTTTATATCGCGACTTTTGGAAGCTCTTCGGCATGAAATTTTTTATCGACGTTGAGCTTGTTTAGAAATATTTCTTATCTTGTTGAGCAGCTGGCTTTTTTTACAATGACAATAATCCCACTCAAGCAATTATATGGCTTTCTGTTGCATATCTTTGTCTTAATAATGATAGTTGTTCCATTGATCAGGATGTTGTTCAGCTGCTAAAGGATGGGATTGACGTGATAACAGATGCTGACAAACTTCTTTCAAATCAATTGTCCTATCCTTTATACTCAACTCTTGCTAGGTAATTTAAACCCAAGGGTATTTAGTTGCCTGCTTTTTTTTTTTTTTTGCAAGACATGGGTTCTCTCGTTGTGGTCCATTTTCATTTGGGATATCTCTAAACTTGTAGGGGGCAAAATCTATGTTACCCGGACTCTTCTATTTAGGAAGAATACCCGTGTCATGTTGTGTCGACACTGGTGTGGGTATGAGTGTCGGGTGTGGCATTGTAGCCTAAAATGTTCAAGATTTCTATACTATTGCGAGTCGGACGCTCATATCTGATAAGCCACCCATATCCGTGTCCAGGTAGCATAGGGCAAATTTACTCTGTTGTAATTTATTGCAGGACTTTTGGGTTCTAGAATAAGGTTCATGGTGATGTGACGTTAGGGGATAATGCAGAAGGCTAGATATTTATTTGCTCTTGAAGGTAGGCCTAGGGTTTGTAAACAATTTTATGCGCCTCAGGACATAATTCTTGTATCCATGCATGTTTGCATGAATTTAAAGATTAAATGAGTTAAAACCATGGGAAACACTGAAATTACTTATGTCTATTCTCAGAAAATACAGAACTGACTCACTGTGCAATGCACACACAGCTTGAAGGCAGTCTGATTAGACTAGTATATGACTATTTAGGTTGCCATTACTGATAATCAGTATGTGACAATCAATGGTGGTGACTGCAGTCCTGAAAGTAAAACTGTAATAGAAGATAAACTGTCGGAAGTTTCTGCGAGTTTGTTAGCTGCTTATGACAGTGGGGAGTTTGTTAGTGCCCTTGAAGAAGGTAGTGGTGGGTGGCAGAAATGGGTTAAGAGTTTTGGTATATTTACGAAACGCAAGGTTAGTTAAGCTTATATAATATTGTTATATATTTTTGAGTCTGTTTAAATATTGTATGTGCATCCAATCCAGGGAAAATCTCTGTTCATACCCCTTCTGAGTTTTGCTAACAGGAATGCTTCATGGTCCTGAAGGGATCAGCTTTGCTTCTCATCTTGAAGCTGGAAAATGTGGAGAAGCACCTCAATCTGTTTTAGTGACTTTGGACGAGAGGTTCAAAATGCTTTGAGCGGTTGATTGGGATTTGCTGAATAATCCTACTGTCGAGGCAGAAGCTGACAGCAGTCCCCGACCCTTACCCGTGTCTAATTGAATTATGACCTCATTTTGTAGCTATTGCCTGTGTAGAAGCAGCTGATAATAAAACTTTAAAAGTATATTTGCATGTTTTTTTGCTTTTAAGATATTTTGGGATAATCATATAGGGCACTTAAATAATTAAGATAATTTTTTGTAATAAGCATTCATATGCTAGCATTCAATATTTGCATTTATATTTACATAATACTAATGGTGTTATAAATAAATGAAATTTACCACTAATAACCTTATCACATTATCTTATCACTAATCTATATCTATTCTATCTATATCTATTCTATCTATAATCTATAACTCCCTTAAAAGTGTGAGTTGTTTCTTGAAATTTTTGAATTGTCAAGAATATCCTCATAAAAAGATAAGTGTTAAGGTTATTAATGTAATTTTCTTATTCATGCTAGGAAGTTACAACTTTTAATTATTATATTTTACTTTTAATACTAATTATATCTTTAAGTTCTTACACATACAAAACATTACCTACACAAATTACTATATTTTAAATAATAATTTATTCTTAATTATATTATTCTGAATTAAGCTACATATTATGTTAGGTTTCGATTTGGTTATTTTAAAGGCATTTTAAAATGTAGAAGAAAAATTATTTTAAGATTTCTTAAATAAAATATATGATATTTCATAAGTGTGAATTATATAATGCATCACTAAAAGTATCATTTTTAATTTCTAAATATTTTATTGTTTATCATACAAATTTTTTATTATAGTATTAAAACAATTAAACAGACAATTTAGTGAACATGCATATGTTTAAGAATGATTGAATCAAATATAATTATTCAACATACAAAATGTCAACTTTCTATGGAAAAAAGATATTTGTTAAGTAAAAAAGATATGATCTTAACATATGTATTTGTTTAAATTATTCACTAAAACAATATGCATAATATGATTTATGTCTTTTTATAATAATGTGTTACATGAATTAAAATACATTTATTGAATTGTAATATAAACAAAAATAGATTAATTACAGAAATAAAATAAAATAACTAATACTCAATTTTAAATCTTGAATTTTATAATACGTGTACTCATTAGAAAATAGTTACAATTAAAATTAATTAAATAAAAATAAATAGTGAATTTACTTTAAATATGAATCATTCATTAAAACTAGACTCATTAAATTTTCACATTTAGGATAGTCTTGAAAACGAAGATAATGCATGTATGACAATTTTAGGAGATGCAACAATAATTTATGTTGGACAAGATATATAGATAGATGAATATCTTTTAATCAATAAAGATGTTATTATTCCTAAGCTTTTTCATGTAATTTTTTTTTTAAATAATTATGACTTTAAAGACATTTTCAAATATTTATGTGTCTCTTATGTCATTATGACTAGAGAAAAATTATATATATCTAGGTATTATGAAATGTTATACTTGCAAATATGGCTAATTGCAACCACTATAATCAAAATAATTGAGAACGAATTATTCAAATACAATGTTTTAGCTTCCAATCTACAATAAAATAAATGCTCATTTTAAATTATAGTTATAACAAATTCGAATTATTTTTCAAAGAGTATGATGCAAAATGATGACATTAGAAAACTATTTTTGATGACAATATTAATGATAATTATTTTAAGCAAAAGTAGGGATGAAATATTGACGAAGATATAAAAATAATGTTAAGATAAAAAAAAAAATATGAAAGAATCATCATTACATAATTCATTTAAACTGGAATTAGTAATTATTCACATTTAGTCTTGAAAAAATTTGTGAATGAAGATAATGGATGTATGACAATGTTAGGTGATGCAACAATAATTTATGTCGAAAAAGATATATAGATAGATGGGTAGCTTTAATCAATAAAGATGTTACTATTCTTATGATTTCCAAGTAAATTTTCTTTTTGAAATAATTAGTTAATTACGACTTGAATTAAAGACATTTTCAAATATTTATGTATCTCTTATCAATATGACTAGGGAATAAATATATATCTAAGTATTATGAAATATTATACTTGCAAATATAATTACACTTGCAACCACAGTAATCAAAATACTTGAGAACGAATTATTTAGACATAGTTTGTTAGCTTCCAATAGACAACAAATAAAAAATAATCATTATAAATTATAATTATAGCAAATTTGAGTTATTTTTCAAAGAGTATGATGTAAAAAGATGACATTAGAAAGCTATATTATGAAAACAATAATAGTGATCATTATTTTAAGCACAATGAAGATATCATTAAATAACAAAATCAAAGACTATAAATTTTTTTAGCATTTACATTTTCACTAAAAAAATATTAATTTTATTTTTTTGGTTTTCAACCCAAGTTTTTATTTTTTTTTAATTTAATTAATCATAGAGTTCAGATAATAATATTAATACTATATTTCAATATTCAATAAAATACACTATTTTTTGTTAAACTAAATCAAAAAAAATTATATTATACTTTTAAATATAAACATAATACTAAAAATAATTTGAAAAAAAAAATACCACGTGCGTAGCACGTACATCTTCCTAGTGTATAGAAATGTGAAAGTATAGAAGTGTGTGAATGCATAGAAATGTATGATTGAATAATGCATGGGAATTTGCCTATAAAAGGTTGAGAAGTAGTGTAATGTGGTACTCCTTCCGGTTCATAATATATGTTGTTTTGAGAAGTTGTACTATATTTATAATCTTTTTTTTTGTCAATAATAACCCTCTTTAATGAAGACAAAGATGGATGTTTTGGGAAAAAGATGAAGAAAAAATATGCATCAAATTTAGAGGGAATTCGCCTTCAGCATATTACTAGTATAACACCCGTGTATTACACGGGTGCTTGCTAATTTTTTTCTCAAAGTCTAAAATTAATGAGAAAAAGTGGTTGAAAATTTAAATACCTTTTACAAAAATATATATATTATTATATATTTAGTATAACACTTTTTATTTGTGCGACTTACATGTGTTATATAATAATAATTTTTAATTTACAACATATATATAACTACATTAAAAATAAATATATCAATTGATAAATAATTTTATTTTTCTAATAAATTTTAAAAAATATTATTATTTTTTATTATTATAAAGATAAATATAATTTATTTATTTCATATATACAATATGGATGTCAAATCGAAGATCATCAAAAGATGATTAATTTGATATATAATATATGTAAAACCGATAAGAAAAACAAAAGTTATCAAGTTTTAAAATACAATTACAACAATAGTTAATTGAAGGAAACAAATCAAAGTCAGAGATATATTAGTCACTTAGTGCCTCACTATGTAAAATTACAAATAACTAGTACAATACCCGTGTATTACACGGGTGCTTGTTAAAAAATTATTCTTAAATTTTAAAATTAATGAGAAAATTATATTAAATTTAGTTTACTTTTTTACAAAA